ATATAGAGAAATTCTGCACATTGGGCACTCTAAAACGCTGAATTGTCTGATTGAGGATCTTCCCCGATCGGTAAATTGTTTTAAAAGAGAAGCAAAAGCATGTTATCTTTGTCTGAAGTCTGATTACATGTAAAGTCTCAAACTACATAGCCTCACGTGAGGGAAAGTGAATGAGTGTCCTCGTCTTAGACCGTTTGGCTTCATAAAAGACGTAAAATCCATCACATGAATGGATAACCACTGAGGGTTGTCTTCCAAATTTAATAGGATGTTTAATACCACTTAATCCAGGTTTATAACAAATCTGTTGCCGCTAACTGAGCATTGCCGCTAACCGAGCGTAGAATCTAAGTTTTATAAAATAAACTTATTGCGGCTAACTGAGCGTTGCTGCTAACCGAGCGTAGAGTAAGTTTTATAAAATAAACTTATTGCCACTAACTGAGCGTTGCCGCTAACTGAGCGTTGCCGTTAACCGAGTGTAGAATCTAAGTTTTATAAAATAAACTTATTGCCGCTAATCGAGCGTCGAATCCAGATTTTACAAAATAAGACTTGATGCCGGGGATTAGCCTCGTTGCCGCTAATTGAGCGTTGCCACTGTAAAAGTGAGGTCTGGCCCCTGTTAAACTATCAGTGAGGACACAGGGAGAAGTTTGTTATTTTTAATTACTGTGGGGTGGGTCCTACTTGAAAGAGATTTTCTACTGTCTCGAGAAACAGCGTATCAAGCAGCTTCCTGTTTGAGAATTCCTGTACTCATACAGCTCTCAAGTAGTTCTGTGTGGGGGGTATTGGAATTGTGGGATTATAGTGTACGGTATTGCAAGTTTTGGTGTCTAAAACAAGTGACTTGACTGGGATACCCTCAACAGCCAAGCGCACAGAATCTCTGTGTAGAAGCTTCTTGGCTGGGTCGGTCACGTGGGCGCTGCGCCATTCACTGAAACTTGTTGATACGTGTTTGTCTAATTTTCTACTATGGCACTAAACCTATGCGATCAGTGAAAGCAATGCAAACACGGCACTATGGGGTCGGTACTGTATGTAGCGGCCATGAAATGGCGAGGGAAGGTTCTTAAGGAAGACGAAGGGAAAGAATTAGAAAGATTTAATAACTGGGCTGAAGAAATGTAAGATAAGGGAATGTTTGGAGACCGTGAAGGGGCTCCGCCG